ATTAAAAAAAGTGGCTACGTCATACCTGTTTAACATTGGAATACAAGGTTGGTTTCCAAGGCAGGTTGTAAAGCTACCGTTATGCTGACATGTCAAAAAATAGTTTTGACATTGTTCACATAATAGTCTTCGTATAACAGTGTTGTTGACATGGCGATTCAGCATTTTGGTTGAGAAACATCTGTAAATGACCACTTCTATTGCCCATAAAAATCTCTACCCATGCCCCACCATCTATATGTTTCACACAAAGGATTTTGATTTATTTATTTTAAAAGCTAAAGGCTTTACACGTAACCATTCATATAGCCTATTAACATAATACATTGGATGAGTTTTTTGGATTCTACCGTCTATTTATATGAGGTGGCTAGACATTCCATTTATTGATTGTCATGTCTAAAAAATTATTCAATGTTAACAATGTAGCATTAAAGATGCTCTAAAATGTTTTCCTCCTTTATCGCTATACACCCCCTTTTTTGTATAATGCTTTTTTAATAATACTATTCACGCCTCCCATAGACCGAACTCATGCTTTCCTGTTTGCGGGAGAAATTAACCGTCTAACCCAATAACCCATGTTTTCCTCGATATCAGAGAAATCAACAACTCTCATTTTTTTTGTAGTTTTTCCCTTTTCACATTTGCAGATGGACGATTGGCTGAATATCTTCTTCGCTTTGACCTGACTTCGGTGAGAGATGGTTCGAAAATTCTTGACGGAGATAGTGTTGCAAGATAGTGCAGATCCTCTCGCTAAAGACTAGTCAGTTTGGGTATTCTTGACAGTTCTGTTTTTCTTGAATTTTCGTCAGAGATGGTTCTGATACTTCCAAGAATCTCTCGCTATTATGGTTGTGTATTTAGACGCAAAGAAATCCTCTCAACAAAAAAAGGACTACGATGGTTGATAAAGATGGAGAAGACAGAAGCTAAGTGAGAGTAGGGGGAATGATGGTTAATAAAATATATTTTATTTTATTAATAAAATATATTTAAAGGCATGCCTTCGAAGTTTTCAAGGTATACCTCTCATCTCCGCTCGTCTTGACTAAGGCAGACCCGAGGGAGCAGCTCTACATGTATCTTACCGTCGTAGATCCGGTCGTGAGTTCTGTATTGCTGAAAAAGGAAGAAGGCGTTCAGCGGCTAATTTACTTTGTAAGCAAGGCGTAAAACGACCTTGAGACCAGATACACATTGATGGAGAAGACGATCCTCGTCCTCATCGCGGCGATCAAGCGTCTAATGCCCTATTTTCAAGCCCATCCAGTAATGATCTATACAATGCAGCCGCTCGCCACTATTCTAAGGAATCCTATGGCCAGCGGAAGAATCACCAAGTGGTCCCTGATGATTGGGCAATACAACGTGGAGTTCAAGCCGAGGCCGACGGTCAAGGGACATGCCCTTGCTGGCTTCATCGCAGAATGCATTGCGCACACTGAAAAAAAGTCCCTAGAGGAAAATGACTTCGACAACTAGTGGGAAATGTACACCGACGAGGCCTCTAGTGCGCGAGGATGCGGTGGAGGAGCGGTCATCACCTCCCCCGAGGGATTCAAGGCCTATTACTCAATGAAATTTGACTTCAAGGTCACCAACAATGAAATAGAGTATGAAGCGCTCATCGCGGGTTTGAAATGTGCAAAGGCGCTAGGGGCCGCTCGGCTCATGGTGAAGATGGACAACCAGCTAGTAGTAACCCAAATGAACGGCACCGCTGAGACTTGCGAAGAGAAGATTAAGGGGTACAAAGAATTGGCGGAGGAGCAGACCACGCAGTTCGAGAAGGTGATCATAGACCAAGTATCCCAAGTGTAGAACATCGAGACTAACATCTTGTCCAAGCTAGGGAACCCTCCACCCAAAGACCAACTGACGGCCATCTCAGAACACCTAAGGGGATTTGCCCGGCAGGAGCTACTACTTCGTCCGTCGACATATACCATCCAAGTGGAGGCCATCTCTTTTGTTGAGCCGAGTTGAATGAGCGAGATTGCTAATTATCTTAGAGACGGGAAGCCTCCTAAGACACCAGATGGGGGAACCGGGAAGGCGGCATGGATCAAAAGACGGGCCCCTAATTTTGAGCTCATAGATGGGCAGCTATACAAGAAGATGTTCGGCGGCCCATATCTCAGGTGCTTACCGTCGGGCTTGGCCGTGACGGTGATGGAGGAAATCCATGAAGGGATATCTACAAGCCACAAGGGTCGCGGACGTTGGCAAGGAAAATTATTCTCTAGGGCTATTGTTGGCCGACCATTCGACGACATTGCTTCAACCACACCCAGAGGTGTGCGGTGTGCCAGCAGTATATGCCTCGGTCCCAGGATGCCTGACCAGTTTCTACTCCCCAATAACCATAGCATTACTATTTTCCGGGGGATCAACCTGCTTGGGCCATTACCTACGACGACCGACGGACGCAAATTTATAATTGTACCCATCGCTTATTTCACCAAGTGGGTGGAAGCTGAGCCATTGATGATGATCATCGAGTATCAATGCCAGCGTTTTGTCTGGCAGAACATGTTGTGCCGCTTCGGAATCCCGAAGCAGATCATCATAGATAATGGCCGACAGTTCGTCAACAAGGGTTTCAAAGGATTTTTGGCAAAATGGGACATCAGGCATTCAAATGCCTCAATGGCTTATCCCAAGTCAACGGTCAGGTGGTAAATATGAACTGAACTATCACGGATGACATCAAGAAAAACTTGGATGATTATTCCTCCACTTGACCAGAACAGCTGAACTACGTCTTATGGACATATCGGAAGACCTTGAGGACAGCCATCAAGGAAACCCCATTTGCTTAAGCGTATGGCTTCCAGGCCAAGGTCCCCACCAAGGTGCTCGTGCTTACACACAAAACAACGCATTTCCAACCGGAACGAAAAGAGGAGGCATTACGAGCGGAGCTCCACTTCAAAGAAGAACAAAGGGACCTAACCGCACATCGTATGGAAGAATACCACTGGGCCACCCAACGATATTTTAACAAGGCGGTCAAAATCAGAGAGATAGCAACTGGAGACATAGTCTTGTGTAAACGAGAAAAGAGCCAACTGCTCGATGGTGGCAAGATGTCCAAAAACTGGGAAGGCCCATACAAACTGTGGAAGAAAGTCTCGCACAAGACGTTCGACATGCCGACCAGGAAGGACGTGGAGAGGGCGTGTGGAACGTAGAGCACCTGAAGGAATTTTATCAATGATGGTCATTGCCCGGATCCCCCCCCCCCCCTAAAAAAAGGGTGGGGTGGGGGGAGACATAACTCCCGGAAACTTGGGGACTCCGGATCCGGTCGTTGGTCGTGGACGAGGAGTGGTCAAGTCCTTGGTCGAATCACCAAGTGCCCGAAGTAGTTCAGACCTATGGGCCAAGCTGAGGACTTGCTGACTAGGTTTGGACGAATACGCGGGGGCTCCAGATCCGGTCGTTGACTATGGACGAGGAGTGGTCCAGTCCCGGGTCGAATCACCAAGTGCCCGAAGTAGTTCGGCCATGTGGGTCGAGCCGAGGACTTGCTTACTAGGTCGTTGGACGAATACATAGGGGCTCTAGATCTGGTCGTTGACCGTGGACGAGGAGTGGTCTAGTCCTGGGTCGAAGTTACCCATCCACAGTCCTCCACGTCAGCAACGCTACCTACTCCTTGGTAGTACAAATAATAGCATTTATTTCAGTCTAAAGGGTTGACAACTTATTCTCCGTAGCAATAATAATTATCTTAGCTCTTTTTAGCATTTAGAAAGATGAACAACCTCTCGGCTAGTAATTGAAGTGTGTTGTGTATAGACCCTTATTATTATTTAATAAGATACGGCTCACTTGCTACCCTCTTATTGACCCATTTGACCCATCTTACTTGCTTGCATCATACACTCATCAAACTCTCCATTCGAGATCCAGGGGAAACGTGTTGCGCCTTTGGATTGAAGGAATACACCTCAACAAAGCCGATTTGGGTATTACCAAACGGACCCTTATTGTATCATAAAGCACAGTTCCGGCCCACATCAGTGGTACCCAGCCCAGAACTCTAATATTAAAGGCCCAAGAGTAATAGTACTAGGCTATGAAGCACGGATACTTCCCTAGGGTAGCGTATCGGCGTATCGGATACGTTCCCGTATCCGATACTCTAGGATACCCGTACCGTACGTTCCCGGGCCGTATCTGCAATTTTTAAAAAGTTTCCATTTTTTTTTGTAATTTTTTGAAAGTTTCCGATACTCGTATCCTGACGGATACCCGTATCAACCATTTTTTAAAAAAAAAAATCCCAAAATTTACTTAATAAAATTCCAAAAAAAAAAATGAAAATCTAAAACTACATTTTACTTGGTAATCAAATAATGGGCCATATTGGCTATATCCGAATTAAGTCATTAACTCATACTTCGAAGTGGGTACTTGCGCTTTTAATTTCAAGATTGTAGTTGTTTAACTTATTTCACATTTTAAATTAATGACTTATTGACTACATTTATATTTCGAGATACACCAGTGTATATGAGAAATATTATGAATTTATTACTAAGTATCTTGAAAAAGGAAAATGCTTCAATGCAATGAATGGGTAGGCATCATAGGATATTATATGTATATATATATATATATATATATATATATATTAAAAAAAACTATTTTTAATATTTATAAATAGACCCCTATAACTTTTAATATTTGTAAATACACCCCCATAACTTTTAATATTTATAAATATGGCCCCGTATCCGTATCCTACTTTTTTTGGTTTTGATGTATCCCCGTACCCGTTTCCGCGTTTCCGCGTTTCCGCGTACCGGTATCGGTGCTACATAGGTACTAGGCAGTCCAATAACCCATATGGAAGAAGTCCAGGAGGAGGTATTCGGCCAATAGTAATAGTACTAGGCAGTCCAATAGCCCATATGGAAGAAGTCCAGGAGTTATTCGGCCAATAGTATTAGTACTAGGCAGTCCAATAACTCAGATAAGATTAGAAGTCCTCTGCAAGTGAAGCCGACAGAGCTACTCGGCCATTCCGATTTCCACGGGGCACCAAATCGGATAAAGCCTCAAAGGGACGAGGGACGGACAAGTCCAGGAGTCCAGGACGATTTCCGAACGCCTCCATCCCGCAACCGCGCCAAGCCTTCACGCCGCCATCCCGCTACCGCGCCAAGCCTTCACGCCGCCACGCCTCCAGTCCGCTCACTCCGCTGAATCGCCCGGCGGTCTCACTTCTCGCAACGCTCTCTGTCGTGCTGAACCAGGTAAGGTTTTCCGACTTCTCTCTTAAGGTATTCTGATTTTTTTCTTAAGTTCTTATGTATTGTTAATCTTCTTGACTATTATGTGATTGAATTGTTTATTTTAGTTATTTTGTAGCCTGATTAATTTGTTATCGAATTTAACAGATTAGGATGTTGTTTATTTAATTTAGTAATTAAGTAATTAAACTAATTATATTTAACAAATTGGTATAGGTACGTTATGAGGTTGTTAATTTTGAAATTGTTACACTATAATACATTAAACATGTACAAGATTAGTGCATGATTTCAGTAATTGGTAGTAATTATGTTCCAAAGAAACACCCATCTGGATATGAGAATCTTAAAAAGAAAAGAAGACTCTACATTGAAAGTTTAGTAGATGACTTTGCATCTATATATGCTGAGACAAAAAAATTCAGACAGAATCACTTTTTCGGACAAACAACTCATTTATTGTCTCTCATAGGGGTGGTCAAACAGGTAGAGGAGTAATAAGGCTCTGAGGCAGGTTAGGGGTGGGTTCTTTTTGGTCAAAACCAAACAGGGCAGGCGGGCTGGGTGGACCTTCATAGTTTTAGTTTCAAACAGGTTCCCTTTACAAAATTGGGTGGCAGACTGACCCGTTTTAAACATACCTATATAAGGTTGCCATTTATTCATTCACGAAGGGGAACAGTCTTCCTTCTCCAAGTGAAGCTGGAAAACAAAGAAAACCTATGACTGCTTTATGTGTTGCCTTTTGTTATACAAGAACTTGATCTGAAAATGATCAAGCTGCCACATTTTAGTTTGCAGAAAATGGATACAACTCTTGATTGTAACTTCTGAAAAAATTAATATGCTCAAATTCACCAAATATTAAGTTCATGTTGCTCAACTATTGTTTATATTCTAGTAAACAAAATAATATTTTGAAAAAGAGTTTACGTCCAACTCTACCGCTCTACGGTATGCAATGTTTGAAATTGCGTATTGCATGTTTGAGCCGGTTTCTAAGCATTGCCTATTGCGTAAGGCTCATCGCACAATGAGGCGAAAGCCTCAAATATTTAATAAAAAATTAAATAAAACATCATTAAAAGTCAACTCATGTCATAATGAATCAACAAAAATGAGGTCATAATCCATTCAAATAAACCCATCCATAAAGTATATAATCCCGCTTTTTTATTTCTTTCTCACGTTGTCGAGCTGGGTTTGTCTTATTCGCCGTAGACATGGATGTACCTTCCTGAACAAGATTCATATTTTATAACAACACAATAGCAGTGTATATAATAATTAACATAAAAGGTAATGAAAATTATAATACTCCTTCATAAAAGGTAAAGAAAAATTATATGAATAATAAATAAATAAATAAATCATCTTCATCATCATTACCCCGGTGCCACGAAGGCTCCCATCTACGGTGGGATAAGGGAGGCCGGATGTACGCAGCCTTACCCCTGTACTAAATAAATAAATAAATAAATAACAAAGGAAGTATATAAACCCTGAGTGATACATTTAAGTGATAAACCATTCTACGTGTTATTAAAATTTATACATACTGCACAAAGACAAGAAAGTAAACAGATGTTGGGTAACCAAGGAAAAAATAAGAAAAGTAAACAGATAATGGAGGTAAATGATGAAGAGAAGGAATTTAAGAATTTTGATAGTGATGATGGAAGGGATGATGTCGATAAGACTCAAATTGTCTGGGTGATATGTCTGTTTTGTGTGATATGTCTGTTTTGTGTTTGAATTCTCTTTTTGAGTTATCATGTTTAATTTAATGATGTATAATATATGTGCTTGTGTTTGAGATTTTCTGGAGTTCTATTATGCATACCTTGTGGTGGGACCCCTCCCCGGACCCTTTTCTTGCGGGGATGCCTTCGTGCACCGGGCTCCTCTCTTTTATAGTTGGTTATTACTAGTTTAACTATCATAAGTTTTACTTTTTGGTAAATTTTGTGGCTTAAGCCTCGCTTCTTTTGGGCAAGTTGCCTCAATACCCGAACTAGCCTTTTTAAACCTTGGTATCACATTAATATCAGTGATGTAATGAAGGTTTCTTTTTATGACATTTTTAGGCTCATTTAGTCTGAATGGTTTTTTATTTGGAGAATATTGCACACGTCTTGGAGTTTTTTGTTTAAATTTTCTTAATTTGAAATGGTGCTTAACTATGGATGGAGGAAAGTATTGTTTTTTGCTTCTGGTTTGCGGGTACTCACCCTAATATATGTCATCATCCTGAATAAGGATTGAAGCTACCCTATAACTGGAATAGGTTCCGGGTACTATAGCTGTTAGCTATTGTCACATACATAGTATTATTCATGTCAACTCTTCTGTTCACACTTCATAATTCATATAATGTCAACATAAATCTATTGTGCTTATTCACTTTCTTTTGCACACATTGTTATATTATCTTCACATGGGTGATTGAACCTTATTAGTTTCGAATGCAGAAACATGTCTTCTAAAAATGAAGAAGGCGTAGGTGGGGGTCAGGATGCAGCAGAAAGGGTAAAGGCAGCGGCACTAACGGCAGCAAAGGGTTTGAGTCGTGCCCAGGCTGAGCGTGCAGCTGCAGCCGCAGCGCGGAACGTGAACGCATATGGGCAGAAGGAGGAGGGGCCCAGCAGATGGCAGGAAAGGAAAGAAGCAAAGCGGCAGATGTATTTGATGAGCACTGAGAAACAGGTGAGGTTGGGCGAGAGGAAAGATCTCAAGACTTCAATGTCCTCTTCCTCCGGCATTTCCTCCTTTTCTCAGTGTCAAAAGTGTTACCAGACTGGGCACTGGACTTATGAGTGCAAGAACGAGAGGGTTTACATCTCACGACCATCCCGTACCCAGCAACTGAAAAACCCTAAACTGCGGATGAGGGGTCCGGTTTCTTATGATTTGGAGGACAACCCAAAAGTTTCTGAGAAGAAGAGTAAGAGAAAGCACAAATCAGATACTGAGTCAGGTAGTGACAGTGAAGCTTCTGTTTTTGAATCTGAAAGTGATGGATCTGCATCTGGCTCTTCTTCTTCTTCCGGAGGAGGCAGTGAATCAAGTTCATCCTCTGACTCGGAGGAAGAGAGGAGGCGGAGGAGGAGGAGCAAGAAGAAGAAGATGCAGCGGCATAGGAAAAGAAGACACCGGAGAGACCAGTCGACGACATCTGAGTCATCATCTGATTCATACTCGGAGGATTCAGAATCAGACTCGGAGGACCGATCTGCCAGAAAGAAGAGCAGTAAGAGGCGGGAGAGTAGAAGGCGCTGATGAGCTATGTTAAGCTGCAAATGGTTTTCCCACCACAGGAGTATATTTCTTCTTTAACCGAGACATTGTTATTTGATACGGCAAGTATGCATGCTTGTTTTGTAGAAATTTAAAGACTCGTTTTTTACTCCATTTTAACCTCGTGTGCAATTTGGATCAATTGAATCTTATCATGTGTTTGCTCTTGGCATGTCATTTTCACGCTTTACTCGTCCACAATTCCACGAGGAGTGAGTGATCCTGCCGTGGTGGTGACATTTTTTGAGTGGGAAAATTGGAAATGCCTTTGACAGCGACTGAGATGTTCGCCAGTTTCTTTAGCTATTCTGGGTTGTCTTTAATTGACTTTTTTAGCAGCATTCTTATGATCTTATGAGTTCATTCTTTAAAGTAGACCTGGACTCGGGCCGGTTTGGGCCCGGCCGGGCCTCGGGCCAGGAAATGGGAGGCCCGGGCCCGAACCGCCGGTGGCCGGTTCCGGTCCCGGTTCCGGGCCAAACCGGGCCGGGCCGGGCCGGGCCGAACCGGCCCACTTATTTTTTTTTTTGTTCTCCTATTTAATCCCCTACCCCTCCCCCTCAACCCCAAACCACCCCAAACCACCTCAAATGGCCCAAAATATCTATTCCAACCCAAAACTTTAAAAAAATTTCAAAAAAAAAAAAAAATTAAAATCCGGCCCGGACCGGGCCCGAACCGGCCGGGCCGGTTCACCATTTGGAAGGCCCGGGCCCGGAACCGGGAACCACCGGGCCGGTTCGACCCGAACCGCCGGTGGACCGGGCCACCGGGCCGGGCCGGTTGCTACAGTGGCCGGGCCGGGCCGGTTCCGGGTCGGGCCGCCCGGCCCGAGTCCAGGCCTACTTTAAAGTACAAAAACTTGCTTAAAATGCAAGTTCTTGTGCCACACTGCCACATAAATATAAAACTTGCTTCGATCTCTTTTTAGAATTTGCATATGATGGGGCTAGACTCATGTGAAATAAATTACTACGCCAGTATGCCAACTCATACAAAAGTTAAAACTTTAATTGCATCTTTTTTTGGGGGGGTCATTTAATGTGAAGACAAATAATGTAGACAAATTCGTGTTATTAGGATGTTTTTAATTGAACCGGAATTTTTTGGTCTGGTAGATGCCTAGTCTAAAAATTTTTAACTGTCCAAAGTTTGGTTTGATTTGGTCTAAAATTGAAAATAGCCCAAGTAAAACATCCTTAGTACAAAATATGCATCATATTAATTTAGGCAAATTTATAACCATAAGATTAAAGAATCGTTCGTGGTGTAAACGTTTTGGGTGTACACACTTATTTACACGCTCAAGTTGCTTGTGTGCATACACAATTCTGTCTTTTTGAATGAATTGCTTGTGCACACAAAAAATAAATTGCACATTTTCTTCATTTCATATGTCACAATGACAATGTTCTCAATGATGGATGACACACATTATGACTCAACTATCTCAAAGTTGACCATCCACTATTGACTTGCGGTGGTCAAAGTTATCGCTCATGATTATCGTTATAAATTATGACTACTAAATTATTGTTCATTATCGCCATTACCGTTAAGGATGACCACCACCATATTCAATGACATTGACTTTGGTATAACTCACCACATTTGTTAACTACAATTTTGTATCATCAACCATAATCACTGACAAATGTCAGTCTCTCTCTGTCTTTTTTGGTAAACCTATAGGCATAACAATAGTGTAAAATTCTTATGCGAAAGAAACGTATGTTTATTCGGTGATCTCCAAGTGTACATGCGAATACATTTATACAATTTGAAAATAGTCTGCGTAACTAATGATGAGAGCTACAGCTGTACATCCACTATACATGCAAATAAATAGGAGATAAACTCCAACTAAATTATCCTACGTAGACCAAAGAATAAAAAATAATACAATATAATAAAATTTTCTACAGCCACACACGTATACACCAACAGCCCCCCTCAAGATGGAGCATGGAGGTCTCGAATGCCCATCTTGGAAAGTAAGTAGCCAAATTGATGTGACCCTAGAGCCTTTGTAAATATATCAGCCAGCTGCTCAGTAGTGGAACGATGTATCAGACTAATAGTACCATCCCGTACATGATCTCGTAAAAAATGACAATCAATTTCGATGTGCTTGGTCCGTTCGTGGAAAACCGGATTAGAAGCAATATGGAGAGCGGCCTGATTGTCGCAAAAAAGAGGAATGGGTTGGGTCTGTGTAACACCCAACGAGGATAGCAAACTCTTGAGCCAGATCAACTCGCAAGTCAAAGAAGCCATGGAACGATACTCCGCTTCTGCTGATGAGCGAGAGACAGTAAATTGTTTCTTGGTGCGCCACGAAATAGGAGATGAACCCAGCATCACAAAATAACCAGAAGTGGACCTACGTGTGATCGGACAACTAGCCCAGTCAGAATCACAATATCCCACTAAATCCAATGAGGAGTCGCTGCTGAGAAAAACACCTTGTCCGGGATGTCCCTTGAGATATCTAAGCACTCGTAATACGGCCTCCCAATGGTGGACACGCGGCTCTTGCATAAATTGTGATAATATATGAACCGAATAGCAAATATCTGGCCGCGTGAGCGTCAAATAAATTAGCTTCCCGACAAGCCGCCGATATCGTTCGGGATCAGGAAAGAATGCCCCTGTGTCACGTTGCAAGCAATGATTTTGTATCATCGGAAAGGCTACCGGTTTGGCACCAGTTAAACCAGTTTCAGACAGGATATCCAGTACATATTTCCGTTGACATAAGAATATACCACTGGAATTCCTCGCCACCTCGATTCCCAGGAAATATTTCATGGTGCCTAAATCCTTGATAGGAAAAACAGTAGCAAGAAATTTTTTGAACTGAATAATCATCTCATGACAATTTCCTGTAATAAGAAGGTCATCCACATAAACCAAAACACATAGGATTTTATTAGATTGCCGCAGAATAAAGAGTGAATAATCTGCGTAAGACTGACTAAACCCATAAGTGCGCAATGCCGCCGTTAGTTTGGAAAACCAACAACGAGGCGCCTGACGTAATCCATACAGAGACCGAAGAAGTTTACACACATGCCCCGGAGAAGTAGAGTAACCAGGTGGTGGGTGCATGTAAACTTCTTCATCCAAATCGCCATGCAAAAAGGCGTTATCTACGTCCATCTGTTGTAACTCCCATTGCCGACAAGCCGCAACTGCCATAATGGTCCGTACAGTGACCATCTTTGCTACGGGAGCAAAGGTTTCATGATAATCAATACCCTGCACTTGTCGGTTCCCGCAAACCACCAAACGAGCCTTATACCTGTCAAGACTTCCATCACTTTTGTATTTAATTTTAAATACCCACTTACAAAAGATAGGCTTTTTGCCGGGCGGCAGCTTCTGAATGGTCCATGTTCCATTGCGCTCCAGCGCATCAACCTCCCGTGTCATCGCCTCTCGCCAGTTAGGGTCACGTATTGCCTCATTATAAGTCGTTGGTTCTTTTATAGTAGAGATAGCTGCAAGAAAAGCACGGTGCGGAACAGAAAAACGATTATATGTTACATAATCAGAAAGAGGATAAGGCTTACCAGAAGAGACCGACGGAGAAGACAGAACGACAGATGGAGTATTAATTTTCACGGTATTTAACTGGACTTCATAATCTGAATGCCACAAAGGTTTCTGCCTTTCACGAGTTCCCCGTCGTGCCCCATGCGGCAGTGCATTACTCTCATGCAAACCCATGTTCTGATGTGCTCCATCATGTGAATTATTCTCATTATGTGAGTCTTCGGTGAACCCATCATCTGCATGTTCAGCACTTGCCATTCCATCCGTTTGAGTGTCAGCATAAGTATGATTATTAAAGTCTCCTGCCATACTCGAATCCCATGAGAAAAATTCCTCCTTTTCATCCGTAGGTTGACCACCCACATTCATGGAATCTTGTGCTTCGTCATCACACGTCCCGTCCAATTTTCTATAAGGAAATTCGGTCTCCACAAATTGCACATCCCGGGAAACAAAATGACGATTATTATCCAAATCAAACATTTTCCAACCCTTTTGAGAATGAGCATACCCAAGAAAAACACATCTCACACTCCTTGACCCAAATTTATCATGCACATTAGGAGCACGTGCATAAGACAAACATCCAAAAACCTTTAAATGGCCATAAAGTGGAGCCTTGTTATATAACACTTCGTAGGGACTTTTATGAGCTAGTAACGGAGTAGGCAACCGATTAATTAAATAACCGGCTGCCAAAACACACTCACCCCAAAATTCAAGGGGTAGGTTTGCATGAAACCGCAGTGTCCGTGCCATTTCTAATATGTGTCTGTGTTTACGTTCCACCCTACCATTTTGTTGTGGAGTATACACACACGAGGTTTGATGAATGATGCCATTATCAAGAAAGTAATTTTTCAGCTTCAAAAATTCCGTCCCATTATCACTCCGCACTATCTTGATATTTTTTTCAAATTGACGTTTGGTCATGGCACAGAATTGTTTAAAAATAGTTGTTACTTCATCTTTAGAGATCATCAAGTGTACCCAAACAGCCCGTGAAAAATCATCAACAATAGTCAAAAAATAATGAGCACCACACGTAGATGGTATCCGATAGGGACCCCACACATCACAATGCACTAACTCAAAAGGTTCAACGGCTCTAGTATTATTAATTTGAAAAACTTCACGAGTCTGTTTCCCTCTCAAACAAGCATCACATACTTTATTCGACTCATCTACAGATCCGAATTTATTAAAACCAAAAACATAATTCACCACTTTTGAGGACGGGTGTCCTAACCGGGAGTGCCACAAATTGCTCGTATCTTGCTTCCTGACTTGATGAGCTGTTATTGTGTCCACACCGTGAAAATAATATACTCCGTCTTGTCGTCTACCCGCTCCAATCAGCGTCCTCGTAGGCAGGTCCTGTATCACACATAACTGATTAGTAAAATATATATCACATTTCTGGTCATCAATTAAACGTGCTATAGATATAAGATTACACTTCAGGCCAGGAACCAACAATACTTTCCTAAGTGTAATGTGTGAACTTAATTTCACAATTCCCATACTAGTTGCTTGTGTGATTTCTCCGTTAGGCAGAATTACTGACACGGGTGGCAATACTTCCCTTTGCACCAATAAATTTGCACAACTAGTCATGTGGTACGATGCACCCGAGTCCAGCAACCATTTAATATTAGAATCCTTGCCAGTCAATTTTTCAGAAGTAGCAATCATCTTACTCTTCTCTAGAAGTTTCACGAGGCCCTTCCACGGTTCAGTGTGGCTATTGCCTACATCGGTCGTCATGGCTTCAGTCGATGTACTCCGTAGGAATACTCAGGCCTCAGCTTCGTCGATCACAGGTTCAGGAGTCGGAAGACCCGCTCTGATACCATGTAAAATTCTTATGCGAAAGAAACGTATGTTTATTCGGTGATCTCCAAGTGTACATGCGAATACATTTATACAATTTGAAAATAGTCTGCGTAACTAATGATGAGAGCTACAGCTGTACATCCACTATACATGCAAATAAATAGGAGATAAACTCCAACTAAATTATCCTACGTAGACCAAAGAATAAAAAATAATACAATATAATAAAATTTTCTACAGCCACACACGTATACACCAACAAATAGCTATCATTCGTTCACAATCAATCGAGGTTGGAAAATCTTCATCAAATCATACAAAATATGCAGTGATAAAGTAGAATCGTCAGTGGAAACAAAGTGAACACCAAAGTCTTAAGTATGGCCTTAGCCAGCCAAAAAGTCGACAGCCCAATTGCCCCCGATAAATATGCTCAACTTTGATAACTCAGTCTCGATCAAGCGCCTCACAAAAACTGGCACAGTGGCACCTCAAAAGAGTGAGGTGTAAGCTTGTCATCACTCAACAGTAGATGAAACACAGCACGCGAATTCACCTGCGGACGTACAGGTCCGTAACCTCTCTACCAAGCAATCTCGAAACTTGTCACGGGTGTTCTCAATTCAGATCTGGTGATTGAGCAAATCCTCAATCACTATGTTATAACATCATAAACCATGTGTTCAAAAAACACATCTTCCTAGTTACAAAATGTGAAAATTGAATATAAAATAACAAATCGAAAATATAAAACTCCAAAATAAAAAAACGAAAACTGAAACATCAAAACAAAAAGCTTAAGATCATTATATATTTGCCTTTAATGCAGACATGCAGATGAGTTGTAAAAATACCACATTAATTACATTGTTGAGCACATAATCACACATTTATTATTCTTAAAATAACGGATGTTCATATTAAAATGTATAATAAAAAATGAAAAATTACTAACAACAATAATGTTTGGTGATAAATGGATAATGTGCATCTCTACACTTCACTATCCGAAAGCTTTAAGGAATTAGTTTGTAAAGTTTTTCCAAAGTAGGGCTATAATGATGCTAGGTAGTGTAACAAAACGTTTAGCTTTTTTTTTATTTTACTATTTGGGATTGCTCTCTCGTTATACGAAGGAAACTTGTTAAATAATTAACAAAATAATTAGACACTTGAATCAAATAATTACTCATTCCCTAAATCAATTAGACACTTGTACCAAATAATCACCCATAATGTGAGGTTATTTTTGATAATTTTCCTTAAAAGATTGAAATACTTGGTTATTATTATGCATTGAATGTATAAACTACACACAACATATCCCAAGAGCTATGAAGCACGGATACTTTGCTAGGGTAGCGTATCGGCGTATCCGATACGTTCCCGTATCCGATACTCTAGGATACCCGTACCGTACGTTCCCGGGCCGTATCTGCAAATTTTAAAAGTTTCCATTTTTTTTTTGTAATTTTTTGAAAGTTTCCGATACTCGTATTCTGACGGATACCCGTATCAACTTTTAAAAAAAAATCCCAAAATTTACTTAATAAAATTATAAAAAAATGAAAATCTAAAACTACATTTTACTTGGTAATCAAATAATGGGCCTATATGGCTATATCCAAATTAAGTGATTAACTCATACTCCAAATTGGATACTTGCACTTTTAATTTCAAGATTGTAGTTGTTTGACTTATTTCTCATTTTAAATTAATAACTTATTGACTATATTTATATTTCGAGATGACTAGTGTATATGAGAAATATTATGAATTTATTACTAAGTATCTTGAAAAAGGAAAATGCTTCAAAGCAATGAATAGGTAGGCATCATAGGATATTATATATATATATATATATATATTAAAAAAATCTATTTTTAATATTTATAAATAGACCCCTATAACTTTTAGTATTTGTAAATGCACCCCCATAACTTTTAATATTTATAAATATGGCCCCGTATCCGTATCCTACCTTTTTTGGTTTTGACGTATCCCCGTACCCGTTTCCGCGTTTCCGCGTTTCCGTGTTTCCACGTACCGGTATCGGTGCTACATAGCCCAAGAGAGATTGAAAAAGTGAACAACATTTTCACTTGAACTTAAGGAGTGTTTGCTATTACTTAAAATAAGCACTTTTCAACTTTTAACTTAAAAAAAGCTAAAAACAGTGTTTGCCAAACCCAACTTCTGATTAAAAAAAGCACTTAAAATCCAAAAGTTAGAAGCTGGGAGATGGGTGCTTCTATCTGCTTTTATCAGCTTCTTGGTATTTTTGTAAATACTCCAAACTTTGTGTATAGTTATTAGGTTAAATATTTCACTTAACCCCACTCTACCCTCCCCTCCCCTCCCCTCATCCGAAGTTGCTGCAAGACCTTGATGCCTCAGGCTCTGTTCCCCACCGTCATGCCCCATCCTCACGGAGCAAATTATACGAGTAATATATACCGTAGCAAATTGTCCGACCTGCGCACCTCTCCGATCTCCATGCTGTGCATCTTCTATTCCATGAACCCAAACCAGCTTTCCGATTTCCAACAAATTGTCCGACCTGCGCACTTCCAAATCCAGTTTTTTTGTTTAATTTCGGACTTGTTTTCTGGGAGCAATTTTCTTGTTCGTAGAGTGGAAGATGCTCTGATGGATTGGACGAGAAAGAGAAGGGACAAGCACCTTTCCTTCTTCCATTAATTTTTTATTTGAATTCTTAATTTAATTTGTAAAGGGTGTTTTTGTATTTTGATTATATATTACACCAATAATCACTTTTTTATCAAACACTTCAACTTTTTACCTTTAAATTAAAATCACTTCTATTTACAAACACTACCAACTTTTACTTTTAATCACTTTCTCCAAAATCACTTTAAAAAATCACTTTTTTAAAGTTGAAGCAAACGCAAACACTCCCTTAGTTTGACTCTCAGGGCCAACGCTTAAATATGATGGACTAAGGCAATAGTACATGGACATATATTATATCTTAAAAAGATAAAACAAGATCTTAAATTTACACTTTGTACTAAAGCAGAGCATAAAATTGCAGTACAATTAAAACAGACTAAGGATGTTTTCTTTTCGAT